GCAGAGGGGAGGTGTGGGCAGGGATGGAGGTAGCGGGGGGGCCAGGACCTGTCCCTTGTGCCACCCCAGCTGCTGTCCCCCGTCCCTGCGCAGTGCCCAGCTCCCCAGGGCACTCAGGGATGTGGGGGTGCTTTTGGGGTGCCTTGAGCCTGGGGCTCTTGCCCCCACCGACACTGCTGTGCCCCCCCAGGTGGGAGACGCGGAGCCTGAGCTGGGCGCTGCCGACAGTTGGATCGGCGTCGTGCCTGTCGGGGAGGAGCCGGCCGAGGTCCCCCGGGGTGCCAAGGAGGAGTCCTTCACTGCCGCCGTCGTCAGCAAGGTGACTCTCCAACCGGCCCAGGGTCCTCTCTACCTGGCCCGGGGGCTACCATGGCATTTGCTGGTCATGAGCCCGCAGGGCACCTCCTGGAGTGTCTCCTTGCCAGATGTGGGGGGTCCTGGCCTGTGCTTGGTGGTAGAGGGGGACCGTGACAGGACTCCCGGGCAGTGCCAGCGCCTCTTGGCTCCCTGGCGATACTTCAGCCAGGGCAAAGAGGCACCGGGTGCTGCCTGCTCCCTGCTGTGGAACGGGAGCTGAACGACGGCACAGCCTGGCTGCCCGTCCTCCTGCCTGACCTGTGCCCTCTGTCTCCGCAGATGAAGCGAGCCCTGGTGCTGGGGGCATCAGCCCTGCTCATCCTGGCACTGAACCAGAACGCCATCCGGGAGGTAGGAGAGTCCCGGAGGCGGGTGCCTGAGCCGGTCTCATGCCCCGCTGACGGCTGTTGCTTTCCCTTCTGGTGCAGCTGGACGTTTCCCAGCTTCTTGCCAAGCCTGTGATCGTGATCCAGTCCTCGGACAACGTCACCAAGCTGCTGGGAGCGCTGCTGCGGTACGGGCTGGGGCAGTGGGAGAGGCTGGGCAAGAGCCGTAGCTCTGTGTCTGGTCCCCTGCCTGGCTGTCACAGCCAGGGGCTGCTCTGGGGGGGCTTCTCACGCAGCACATCGCATTTGCTGGGCTGGCGTCGAGCTTGCACTGTGTGGAGGCCAGCTGGGGCTGAGACATGTGTTTCCAGGGAGGGTTTGAGTCAAATCCAGCCCTTCTTCAGGGCTTGAACCCTTCCACCCATGGGTCCCCACACGGCAGCAGGGGCTAACAGTTTCCTCGGCCAAGATCTTTAGGACTCTCAGCACAAATTAACAAGACCAGCTGGTTATCAGCATGACACCGGCATCCCCACTGCTTTTGTCAGTGCTTATCCCCACCGCCTACAGTATTAGGACTCCCTCGGTCCTTCTTACATGCAGTAAATCGGTATCGCTGCTATAGCATCACAGATGGGGAAACTGACGCACGGTGCTGGGAGGAAGAGACCTGTGTGGAGTTGCTCAGAGGGCTGGGCATGGCTGGGAAGGGGGAGTCTCGCTGTTGCCTCCCCTGTGTGTTCCTCTGTCCCCAGTGGTCCCTGTCACCCATGGCTCAGCGTGGGCTGCTTGTCCCTATGGGGAAAGGGGTGCTGCGGGCCGGATCCTGCTGTGCCCATGGCACTGACAGTCTTCTCGCCTTTTGCTCACAGGGGTCTCCGGGCTACAGCGAAGATCACGTACCAGGCAGTGCTGCTGGAGAACCTGGTACGTAGGTCCTCCTCCTCTTTGCTGGTGGGAGGGCAGGGGCATGGCTGTGTCCAGCCAAACTTCCCCGACCAATAGGGGAAGCTGAGCTGCAGGGAGCAGGAGCCAGTTCCACGAAGGCTGTTGAAGCTGCCGGTGCCTCGGTTTCCCCAGAGACTTGTTCCGTGGGAGCAGGGCAGCTGGCAGCCACCGGCGCTTCCTCCTCCCCTCGACACGTGTGATCCGCCCAGCATGGCAGGTCCTCTCGGCCTTGGGCAGCGCCGTGAGCCATCGCAGCCATCGGCAATGCCGTCTTCTGCCTTGCAGGGAGTGACCCTCACCCTGTGGTCGACCTGCGGCCTCTCCCGAGGGGGCCTCTATGGGGAGTGGCAGGGGGTCATCTGCACGGGGGAGAACAGCTCGCAGGTCCAGGTACGTGCGCCGGCACCGGCGAGGGCTCCTCACGTAGCTAGGGTTCCTGGCATGGGAGCACCAGCCGTGGCAGGGCCAGGAGCGGGATGGGTGTCTCCAGTTCACCCCCCACCCTGGTCCCTGACTGCCCACTGGTGCTGTTCCTGCAGAAGTATCTCCAGCAGCTGTGGAACACCATCCTGCTGATCGCTCTGCTCCTCTGCACCGGGGTGATCGTGCAGGCCCAGCGGCAGTCACGGCAAGACCCGTCAGAGCAGGATGCCGAGGTGGGAACGTTTCTGCTCTGCTCCTCACCAGGGAGACCGGCGGCTGGGGTCTGACCCTCTGCTCTGCCTTCACAGCTGGACCTGAAGCAGCACATTCGGCGGCGGCTGTCAGCACTGAAAACACGGCGGTACCATCCCGGCAAACCACTCCGGAGCTGGGCCTGCGAGATCGATAGCTGTGCCGTCTGCTTGGACCAGTTCCACAAGAGCCAGGTAGGGACTGGGGGGGACTGGTGCTGCGCTGGAGCCTGTCCTGGTCACCGCTTGGGGCCACCCATGCTTGTGCCATCCTTTTGCTGCCTGGGGCTGAGCCTCTCCTCGCTTGCCAGGGCCTGGGGTGTCCAGAGGATCACCCCCCTCCCTCAGGCAGCTCGATGGAGGCAGGGCTGCCGTCACGATACCCCCGCCCGGTTCCCCTCACGTCTGCTGTCCGCTTCCCTTCCCACAGTGGCTGCGGGTGCTGCCCTGCTCCCACGAATTTCACCGGGACTGCGTGGACCCCTGGCTTCTCCTCCAGCAGACCTGCCCTCTCTGCAAGCGCAACATCCTGGGTGAGAGCTGCACTGGCGCCCGGCCGTGCCCCCTGCAATGACCAGGGAGCGCGTTTGTGCTGGGCTGAGGGCTGGGGAGGAATCGGAGTCCCCCCCAGGCTCCCCATGTGATGGCCCTCCATCCTTCTCCCTTCCAGGGAACTGCTGCACGGAGAGCTAGCTGGCCTGACGGACGCGCTCCAGGGACAGACCCACTGCCGCTCTGGGGAGAGGGAGGGGGGCAAGGGGTGCTGGGCAAGCAGCGCTCGCTGCCGGAGCGGATTTGGCGCGGCTGTGCCCGTCGCAGCGCCCGGCCATTTGGAGACTGAAGGATCTCGGGGCTCTCCCTGCTGGGTGTGAGTAGAGGGGTGGGGGGGGTCCAGACGGCCAGTGCTGGGGGGCTGGGGTAGTGGGTGCCGGGAAAGGAAGCTACGGGGGCACCCATGGGTGTAACGGGGTGGGGGCATGGAAGCTGGAGGCAGGGAGAGCCCTGGCTCAGCTGCACTCTTTCCCTGCTCGTAGTAATTTTTCTAAGTCTCTTTTATTTTTATTTTCTATTTGCTGGTGGCTGTGGCAGCGTGGGCTTGGGGCCATTCTGCGCCCGAGCCCGGCGGGGCGGCCTGAGCCCCTCTGCACCGCGGCTGCATTGGGTGGCAGATCTGCCATGGCAGGGGACAGAGCTGGCAGGGCTGCGGGGCGACCTGCTGCCTCACTGCGGGGGGGCAGGGGGGCTGAACGCCTTATTTATACTAACTTATTAGAAAGGATGGTACAAGTCAGCTGCAGAGACCGAACACAGGGCTTGTTTGACTGAACACGGGTGTGCCGCGGTAGCCGGGGACTCGCCGTGAGCCCTGACCGGCTCCTGTTCCACGCTGTGGCTGGAGGCTGCTGGGCTGCAGCATTGCACGCATCCGTCTCTATTAAATACAGAGCAAGGACAGGCTGCTGTGTCTCATGTTGGGGTTGTGTGGCTCCCGCTGCCCTCTGAGGCTCGTGAGGTTGCTCGGGGGGTTCAGGGCTAGCCTGCATGTGCGGCTCGGTGGTCCTCAGCCCCTCTGGGTCCTCGTGGCTGCTGGCAGTGCAGGGAGATCCACTTTCCTGGGCTGCGGCTGTGCCGGTGAGCTAAGGGCGGCTCGGGCTCCTCTCATCCCCAGCCCAGCTCTGCCTTCCTCTTCCAAGCAGTGTGGCCACATCCCAGTCACCTCCTGGGAACGGTTCTTGGCGTGAGCTAACTCGCACTGTGCCCAGGCATTGTCCGGCTGACAGCACGGTTAGAGCTGTGCCGGGGACTCCAGCAGCAGCTTAGCCTTGAGTGACCAAGCTCCAGCAACCAGAGATGTCCCTGGCCCCCCTCAGCTGACTATGCAGGGGCTGCTCCACAGGGCCAGGGAGCATTCCCCACCCTGCCAAGGGCTCCTCGCCTGTGCGTGGGTCCATCCTCCAGCTGCCAGCCGGGGAAAGCCAGCCCCAGCCCTGTCCCTGCAGCAGGGCTTCTCCTGGGGCTGCTGTGCTGAGGGAGAAGGGGACACACCAGCCCAGCCCTCTGCACCGTCACCCTTGGTTTTACCACAAACCGCAGCATTGCCCAACAGAGAGGGACAACAGGGGAAACTGCACATACCCGTTTGGTGCCACAGGCCTGCAGAAAACAAAGCGAAGCAACAACCAGAGAGCAGCTGGTAGCTGAGCCCCGGTGGAGCTGCTGCGGGGACCGTCTCCCAGGGCTTCCTATGCCCACTGCATCCAGGCTTGATGGGACGGGCAGAGGGACCGGGTTACCCGAGGGAACGCACCTTCACGATGCACAAAGAATAGGTAACGAGGTCCCACAGGGCAGGGCAGGTGGCTGCTCGCTGAGCACTTCATTTCTGCCTTAGTCTCATGAGCATTTATTTGCGGTAGCCACCAGCGTGGTGAGAGGAGGGGGGGCATGGTCTGCCTCTCCCCCTTGGCTCAGCGGGGTTGAGCACCAGGCCCTCAGCCGGGAGTGAGAGGCAGAGTCCGGCTTTGCACGTGGACTCTGCTGAGAGTGGCTTCAGCCGCTGGCTGCTGGGAGCTCGCTGCCGGGCCTCATCTGTGCGTCCGTGCGTCCCTCTGCTGTCCCTGCTGCCTCGGCTGCTCGGCCGCCTGCGGGTGGTGGGAGCGGTTAGAGGGGAGGAAGAAGAGGGAAGCTCCCCAGCCCCTTCCTCTGGGCTCCTACTCACCCTGCGTCCTGCCTGCCGGCCTCCCCGCGAAGATGAGACCACAGCTGGGTCTGCGGGACGAGCTGGGGAAGAGAAGGGGGGGGGAAATTCCCCCCACTGTGTTCAGCTCCAGTTGCACCCCTTGGCCACAGTGGGGCCGATATAAAGGAGCTGAGAACCAGCCCTGGGCACCTCATCCAAGAAGCTTTTCCTGCCGACACCAGTTAAACCAGACTGATCTCCTGGTGGCATAGGAGCCCAGGGCCTGGCCCAAATGGGGTGGGCACACCCCAAAACCATGGAGCTGGTCTAAACCTAACAGGGCTGAGCTGGAGGGACTGACCCAGGGGAAGGGTGTTGCAGCAGCCCCCGGGCCTGGCCTGTCCATGCCATTTGCTCCCAGGGAGCGAGTGACCCTCGCGAGCTGTCCCTGGCTGCAGCCTGGCACAGGGGACGTGCCGGAGGGGGTCTGGGTCTGGCTGCTGGTGGCCTTGAGTTAGTGGCAGGCACTGTGCATGCTGCAGTGCCCCAGCATTGACTTGGCTGCTCTGGCTTGGAAAGCGTTAGGTGGGAACACCCTGTTCAGCTGCCTCAAGGCTAAGGTGAGCTCCCAAAGGCAGGATCAGGCCCCGGGGCAGCGAAGGATCACAGCCCCTGCCCAGGTTCATGCCCTTCTGGAAGTGGCTTCATCCAGCTCAGCCCCATGCAGGCTGGGAAGCAGCTGCTGAGTCGTAGGGAACATTGTGCAAGACACCCCACAGCCTTTTCTACAAGGGTACACAAACAGGGAACCGGTCCCCAGGGGATGTGGGACAGTGCCAGGGGCCGTGGCTTGGGTGCAGCCTCACCTTCAGCACACCCTGCTCAGCAGCTGCCTTCACCTTGGCTAGCGCAGACCTGAGCCGCACATTCTCCTGCTCCAGCACGCTGATCCGGATGCTGTTGGCCTGCAGCTGCTTCTCCATATCCATGGTCAAGCTCCCAGTGCCTGCAAACAAAATACGACGTCCTCGCGGTGGGAGCCAGAGCTCAGGCCCGCTGCTGCCCGCCTGCTCGGAGCTGTTGGCAGCAGCCCTCCTGCCTCGCGGGCAGGATGGCTGCCCGTTGGAAAGGAGCCTGCCCCAACCAGGGAGCACCAGCACAGCCTGGGAGATGGCAGCTGGGACCCAAAACTGTGCCAGCTGAAACCACAAGGGCAAACAAAGCTCTGCCTGTGCCCTGGCCCTGCTTTACGCCCTGGCCCAGAGGTGGGATGAACAGCACCCATGCAGGGAGGTGTATTAAGATGGTAGCAGCTTAGCACAGCCCAGGGCCTGAGCCCTTCCTGGCTATCAGTGGGACAAATGGTGATGTACAAATAATGGTGCAGCCAGGGCCAGCAGGATCCCCTGTGAGCTCTGGGAAACACCAAAGGCACAAGGCCACTGTGGGGAAAGCAGGAGCTGCTGCCCACTCACTCTCAAACTGCATCTCAGCAGGGACGTGGAGCTCGGGGAAGAACACCAGGAGCCTCTCCCGCTCCTTCAGCTCCCGTGCCTGCTTCTCTAGCCTGGACACATTTGCTTGCAGCTCTGAGACAGACTGCTCCAGGCTCAGCTTCTCCTGCTGCAGCGCATCCAGCAGCTCCTGTGGGGCACAGCAGAGAGATGGTCAGGTTTGCAGAGCGCTTTCCCAGATCTCGGGATGGTACAGTCTGGGGGGGGTCCCACAGGAGTACTTGGAACACCCCCCAAGGAAAGCTCCCTCCGTTTCCTTATGTGATAAGGATCTCCCATAGCAGTGGCAACATGGCAATGTCGCACTGGGTCCCAGAGTCCCCCTCCCGGGAAAATTCTGGCCATGGGTGGGAGACGGCTCCTGACACCCCCACAGCACAGCTGTGTCCCGCACCAGCTGCTCCCCAGGGAGCCCCTGACCCATGCTGGGTGCCAGCGCTGACCTGCTGCGCCCGTAGCTGTTGCCTGCTCTGCTCCTGGCTCTCCTCCAGCTGCTCTGCCAGCCTGGCCTTGTCCTCTTCGGCCTCTCCCAGGCTGGCTTGCAGCTCCTCACGCTCCCGGTCCAGGCTGTCGAGCTGCTGCAGCAGGGCCCTCTGCTTGGCCTGCAGGGACTGTAAAGGGCAGGCAAGCCTGCATGGGGCTGCTGCTGCACCCGCTCGCCACCAGCCTTACACTGTGCAGCAGCAACCACAAGCTCAGGCTGCTCCCACAGCATGCGGTAGGGCTCCAGAGCAGCTCCAGAGCAGGGGAGAGCAAGCCCAGCCATACCTCTTGGTGCCTCAGCGTGCTCTCCACTTTGGCCTTCTCCTTCTCCAGCTGGGTGGTGGTGGTACTCAGCTCCTGCCCCAGGCTCTCCCGCTGGCCGGTGAGCAGCTCCACCTTCTCCTCCAGCTCCAGTACCCGGCTCCTGGCCACCATCGTGGTCCTCATCTCCTCCAGCAAGGTTGTCTTGCTGACTTCTGAGGAGACACAGCACCTTTAGCTCAGGCTCGGCAGGAGGGGGAGAAGCTCCCAGATAAAGTGCCTTCAGGGGGCCCCAGGCCCTGGCAAGGGGGAGGCAGGTCTGATGGGAGGGCTGGGCCCCCCTGAATCTCCACCAGCAGCAGCACAAGACCATTCTGGTGCTGGGTGATGTTTGGGCAGTGCAACGAAGGAGGCTCGTCCTCTCCCCAGATTCCCACCAGCACTATACACAACTGATTCTGGGGGAGCCAGGAGTTAGGTGGATGTAAAACACTCATGAGTTTGGAGCGAGGCTGGGGGAAACATGTGCCAGCTGGGTGAGCCCTAGGGGTCCTTACCCAGCTCCTGCACAGCAGCCTGCTTCACAGCCAGCTCTTCCTTTAAGGCGGAGAATCGCTCTTCCAGCAGCGCAGCTCCTAAAGCAGCACAAAAACTCTACTAATTAAACAGCACCTCAAAAAAAACTTAAAGAAGGAACCAGCAAAATGGCATTTTTCATCCAGTGATTGTACCGTGCTGTGCTTCAGCAGGGAGGAGGCAGTGACAGGATGTGGACAACCAGCTCTCGCTGTCTGGGATTAGTCTCTGTTTCGGGTTTGTGTGGTGGGGTTTTGGTAGCGGTGGAGGGGGCTACAGGGGTGGTTCCTGTGAGAAGCTGCTAGAAGCTTCCCCAGCTCCAAGTCAGACCTGCCTCAGGCCAAGGCCAAGCCCATCAGCAACGGTGGTAGAGCTTCTGGGAGAACATACTTAAGAGGGGAAACCTGCAGTGGGGCAGGAGATTGGAATGTGAGAGAAACACCTCTGCAGACAGCAAGGTCAGTGAATAAGGAGGGGGAGGAGGTACACTGGAAGAGCAGATGCCCCTGCAGCCCATGGAGGACCCCATGCCAGAGCAGGGGGATGACCCCAAAGATGGCTGTGACTCCATGGGAAAGCCCGCGCTGGGAGCAGTCTGTGCCTGAAGGACTGCAGCCCGTGGAAAGGACCCACGCTGGAGCAGTTCGTGAAGAACTGCAGCCCGTGGGAAGGACCCATGCCGGAGACATTCATGGAGAACTGTGTCCCATTGGGGAGATCCCATGCTGGAGCAGGGGGAGAGTGAGGAGTCCTCCACCTGAGGAGGAAGGAGCAGCAGAGACAATGTGTGATGAACTGACCCCAACCCCCATTCCCCGTTCCTCTGCACCACTGCGGGGGAGGAGGTAGAGAAATTGGGAGTGGAGTTTAGCTCTGGAAGGAGGAAGGGGTGGGGGGAAGGCATTTTAAGGTTTGGTTTTACTTCCCATTACCCTTATTTTGATTTGATTGGTAGTAAATTAAATTGATTTTGTTTTTTCCCGAAGTTGAGTCTGTTTTTCACCCGTGACCATAATTGGTGAGTGATCCCTCCCTGTCCTTGTCTTGACCCACAAGTGTTTCTTTATATTTTCTCCTCCTCATCCCACCGGGAGTGGGGGGGAAAGAGTGAGCGAGCGGCTGTGTGGTGCTTTGTTGCTGGCTGGGCTGAAGCCACGACAGTCTCACAGTGGGGAACAGCCCCAGCGCCTACCAAAATCATTGGCAAAAGCCCTGCTTATGGTAGTGGGACAAGATTTGACCATGGACTCCATGCTTCTCTTGCAAATACCCACGGGCCTGGGTGGGGATACTGGGAACAGCACCATACCTCTCCGTAGGTCATCCTTGTCCTGCTCCAGCCTGGCTACAGCCTCTAAATACTCTTTGTTCTTTACTTCTAGGCTCTGCTCAGCCTCCTTCCTCTGCTGCGCTTGGGTCTCCTTCTCCACCTGAAGCAACTGAGAAAAGTCCTCAACCTGTTTCCGCAGCTTGTCCTTCTGCCTCTCTGACTCCTCCAGCTCAGACTTCAGAGGGTTGACCTGCTGCAGCAGCATCTGGAGGTGTTTGCTGATCCGGGAGAGGTCCTTGCTCTGCTCTGAGGCCCAGTAGCACACATCTGTTGCAGAGAGGGTCATTTTCCCTGTGGTTCCCTCCACCGTGTCCTGGAACCTGCTGAGAGCCGAGGGGATGTTCTGGCTCTGGCAGATGCTGGTGACGGCTTTGCCGACCTCCCGGAGGCTGGCTTGTGCGCTGACACAGGTGTCACAGGGTTCCAGAGACAACCCAGTCGTCTGCGTGGGGATGCTGCGGCTGCTCTCAGCCATGCTGCGGGCAGCCCTGGGCAGGGAGCTGCCTGAGGCGTCACTGTCTGGTGCACAGACACTTGATGACGGGCACAGAGAAGTGGACTGGGCAACTTCTGTGGAAGTTCTTAACTCCAAAACGTCAGGCAAGCAGTGTTTCAGGTGCTCCTTCCCAGGTTTCCCAGCCTGGGGAAGGCATTGCAGCGTGGGGATCTCCTTCCTGCAAGTCTTCTTCTGGTGGAGAGAGCACAGAACAAAAACAGGGCCCAGATTAAACAGAGTTGGCTGCAAATGATCCATAAGACCCCAAATACAGAGGTGTGAAGTGTGGGGACAGGACATCAGTGCAGCCAAGGGGCAACGAGGGCAGCAAGCCCTTCTCTTCAGAGGAGTTCCCAGAGCTTGGAGGAGGAGGACAGCTACCAAGCACTCGAGTTTCCTGTTTACTGTGCTCCATTACAACCAAAGCACATGACTATCAAGCAAAATGAATTTGCTTCCCACTCCCCGATGTGGAGCACAGGGGAACTGAATTTTTACAAACTGCCAGGCAGCTTTCCAGCCACCGCTCCTTTTGCAGAGCTGTGGTTTCATGACAGGAAACCTCAGCAGTGAAACCTGCTCCCTGGCTCCCCTTCTTGCGACTGTCCCTTCTTTCACACCTCCTGCGCTGTCTCCTGGTTATGTCAGATGAATTATTGTGAGACTTTTCCATGAGAAGGATCATTTTGAGGAAAAAAAAAATGCAGAGGAGGGGCATAGTATTTTTAACGCAAATTACCTCACTGATTTGAGCCAGCTTAGCCCCACAAATGGCGGGGTCAGCAGAGCTGCAAGGGCAGCACATTGGCAGGAGGAGAATATTTCTCCAAGCCATAAGGGGAGCCAAGCTCACCCATCCTGAGACCTGGTGGAAGCCTGGAGGAGGATGGATCCAGCAGCTGGGAGCGGTGGTTAGAGGAGGGAAGGGGCTCAGGCCAGGAGGGGACAGTGCGGGACAGTTGTGTCCCATCTGACACGCAGGTCAGCACTTGGAGGGTCATGAGCCGGGAACACATCTGCCATGGCCACCGCACACATCACGGGTGTCCCAGAGAAGGGCTGTGACCTCAGCACGGTCCAAATCATGGGGGGTGAGGCAAGGGCCATTTCCGTGACCCCTGTACTCAGCTTGTGGGGTGTCAGGGCCCCCAAATGTCCCACCTCAGCCAGGAGCTGCTGGTAGAAGGCCCCCAGTTTCAGCATGCTGCACCAGTACCTCCTCACGGTCAGTCCTGCGGACATGCAGGGTCCCACTGTCTGCGCCGGGGGGACAGCTTGCTTGTTGAGCAGGTTTTCTGCATAGCCTGTGAAGCTCTGAAGCAGCAGCAGCAGTCTTCTTCGAAAGAAACAAAACACAGCTTAGAGCAATGGAGTATTTGTAATGGGGAAAGAGCCCTTTGTGTTTAAGTGCGCAGTGAGCCTGAAGGGCCAGTGCCGAGGCAAAGAGGTTGTTCCCCATCCCCTGGACAAAGTGAGTTTGACAAAGGAGGGTGGGTATCAGTGCTCCTGTGACCCCCTCCCAGGCCCGAGTCACTCCACGGAGCAGTATTTGGTGGGATGAAAATCCTCCTGCAGCTGCCGGGATGCAGACTGTGCATGCTGCTTGCAGCCAGCCACTTCTGAGAGGCTGCAATTAAGCTCTCCCTAAAGATTTGGGGCACCCACACTGCTGATATCAAACCCTAATTGTTAGGGCCAACAGCTCTGCGGGAACAGCTCATTTTTTAAAATGGAGTCGTATTTATTTCACCCAGATTGCAAAAGGTACTTTTGCCTCCCAAGCCTGTAGGTGCAGCCCTGCCTAAGTGTTTCCAAGGCTTTGAGGGGCAAGTTAACGAGTCCGCCCCCATCTGCCCAGGTGCCCTTGGCTCCCGGCAGCGGGAGCAGAGCAGCGGGTTGCTCTACTCCGTTGTGACAAGCATTTGTGCCGGTAGTACTGAGCTCTGTGCAGAGAAAGGAGTTGGGTTTTAAAACTCAGCGTAGAGCTGTGGAGCACGAGCCTGAGGTGCTGGCACACTTGCTTGGCATGGAAATGCGGGGGGGAAAAGCATCAAAAACACTTGACTGCATTCGACAGGCTGGATATACAACCATCTCCTTTCCTCCAGGGGGAAGGAGCCACTCTGCCAGCCAAGCTTCTTTAAAGAGGGGTGGTTGGGGTTGGCTTTGCCTTCTCACCTGTCTATCACCAGCTCCAGCAGCACCACGTGGGAGTGCTGGGTGAATTCGGGGTCGTTCTCGGCATAACTGTACCGCTCCAGCAGCGCTGTCAGGTCCAGGTCGCAGGACACTTTATCGGGGAACTTCCAGGAGGGGAAACGCACAGCCCCGGCCCGGGAGGAGACGTCGGCAATAGCTGCCTGCAGGTCCCTCAGGTCGGCCCGCAGGCTCTCCATGCAGCCGGGGTGGCCCAGGAGGTGCGCCATGCCGCTGAGGTGGCTGGATCAGGCCTGTGGGCGACGGCCTGCGACAGGGCCACCAGGCCTGGGACGGAGGGAGGAACAGCCCTACGGGGGACAGGTCGCTGGAAAGGGGAGCCAGCACAGTGGCCCCCGGGGCTGGGGAACCCAGGGGTGCTCGGGGGACCCCAGGAGGGACCGAGGGACCGGGACGAGGAGGCGCCGGGCCTGGCCGGGGCCTGTGCGGGGACGCGGCGACACGGACCCGCCTGCCCGCGCCGCCGCCTGCTGCTATGGCAACGGCACAGACCACGCCCCCACACTAAACCACGCCCCTCCGGGAGACCACGCCCCCCGCGCGCCGCAATGGTACGCTCCTCATTCCTCCGCCTTTAGGGATTCCCCCCCATATGGCGTGTTAATGGCACTCCCCAAGGCGCATGCGCTCTGCTCCCTTCGCCCGCCGGTGGACGGTAGCCCGCGGTCTGCGCGTGCGCACCCCCGCGGGCCCGCTCCCCGCTACCGGCTCGTGGCCGCTCCGTCACTTCCGGCGCGCATGCGCATCGCGTCGCCTGCGGCCGCCGCCATTTTGTCCGCGGCGGTGTGGGTTTCCTCCGGTTCTCTCTCGTCTCGTCCCGGGTAGCGGTTCCGGCGGGGAAGTTCTCCCCGCCGCCCCGAGGGAGCACCATGCCGGCCGGACCGGTGCAAGCCATGCCGCCGGCGCAGCCAGCGCCCCCCGCGGAGAGCAAACCGGTGCGGGCCGAGCGGGCGAGGGGGGGCGGGGGGCGGGCAGGCCGCGCTGAGCTGCGTGGGGTTGTTTTGGTCTCTGGTTTCTCACACTGCCCCGCTTGTCGTGGATTTTTGGGGGGAGCTGCAGTTCCCTCCTCCCGTTTGCTGCTGATTCCCGTCGGTATCGCCCGTAGGTCCCCGGTTATCGGCCGTCAGCCTGCGGAGGGGGGACGGACGGACGACTGGGGGGTGCTATACTTCGGTTTAAGGCTGAGTCCTTCCCTGGAAGCGGCACAGGGTTGTAATAGTGATGGGCGTGAGAGTTTGCCGTAAGCGATGGGAACGGCCCTGCTGCCGGGAAGAACGTGTGAAAGGATTCAACACGTCCCAGTGCACTTCAGAGAGCGTAGCAGTCCCACGTTTCGCAGTACCTTCCACAGTTCTCTTCTGTCTCACCTCCGCAGGAACCCCTTCCTGGCCTTCCCGAAATGGGAATACAGCTCTGACGTCGCTGGAGCTGCTGTCCTGACAGCATGTTCCAGCAGTTTCACCCAGTGGCATGAGCCCTTGTGCAGCCGTACAGCAAGCCAGTGTAGGGAGCTGATCTGACTGAATATCTGGGGTGATTTGGTGTAGCTAACACAATTAGGAGGAAAATTGTGGTTCCCACAAGAAAACCCCCAGTGACTTTCATGGACATAAGTTAGCAAGGCAGCTCAGCATTGTGCTTAAATAAAAACATCTCTCAAGTGTGGTGTTGCTTTATGCTTCAGCTCTTCAGGATGATGTTTGGAGGGAGTGGGAATGAAATCTAAAAATATTTGTGGTACCTTTCTCTTAACGCACTTTATTAAGGTTGTATTTGACTCAAGAGAGTTTTCTGCCCTGGAGTCCCCATGGATTTTGCAGAGCTAGGAGCTTTACTGGTATTTTAAAATTTCCCTGACTGTCCCTGTTAAGATTATAAACATTTCCCATATACCTCTTCTCTCTTATAACAGCTTTTCTTGTGAAAGTTGTTTGATGAGGAAAGAGGAGTGACATCTTTAGTATCCTGCAAAGAGCAGCTTCTATTGTCTTACTGGAAGATGAAGCTGTACACAGGGAGGGTTCTGGGATCTTACTTTGGATCCTCCTATAGTGTCAGTGAGAAAAATGCCCTGCAGAGCTTTCCTTACAAACAGCTTTTGATGTAACCACAATAGGATTAAAAAGCTATGGTTTATTTAATGTGGAGTTAATCACTCAGATTCTAGTTTCTTGTAGTCTCACAGACCTCTAGGAACGTTCATAACTTCCAAACCTGTTTAGCAATGCTGAGTTATTCCTAGATGTGGTGTTGTAGGCATTCCCCTACACTGCCTCTTGGCTCGGCATTTATAAATGTACTCAGGGTGAAGGCTGAGATAGTAAAAATGCCGGGAAGCCTTGTTTTGGTTCCCATGGAGGAGCCTTCCTTGTTGTCTGGCTGTGCCTGTCCCAGCAGCGGGTGCCCTTGACAAGCGGGAAAACATTGTCTCCCACCCTGAGAAGCTGAGGAATTCATTTGTGGGATGGGTGGTTCAGATTGTTAAACCAGATCTTTGTCAGGAAAAATTCAATTATTTGGGGGCTGAGGAGGACAATAGATGCTTCTGTGTGCCTTTTGGATTGCTGTTTGGAATACTTAGTTCTTACATAACATTCATTAAGCACGGGATTGCAGAACAATTTGTTAAGGTGTGTTAGGATTGTTACTCCAATGTAGATGAGGAAATTGAGAGGAGAGAGATGACTTTTCCAATTCAACCACCTGAAAATAAACCTAGTCTGGGTTTGCAGCCTACCAGGCTATTTTTCACCCCCTGATGCTGGTATATAGCATGTTATTCAATATTATTTGAAGTTCCTTTTCTTGTTTTCAGCTTTGATTTAGGCTATTTGAAGTTAGTATCTTGACTGGTTGCAAACACCACAATGAAAGATGTCCACCTCTTCACCTTTTGAGTAGTTGCTATAGTTGTGAGGCAGCAGTACAGGGGACTGTATATATGTGTATATGTACATTTTTATTACAGCCAGAAGAGGAGCCAAAAGAGGAAGCAGCACCAGCAAAGCCTGTGGTAGGAATTATTTATCCTCCTCCTGAGGTCAGGAATATTGTGGACAAGACTGCCAGCTTCGTAGCCAGGTAAACAACACCGGTGTTGTCTCGTGTTTCCTGAGATTTTCATGCTTCTCCTCTTCAGTGCTAATGTCTGTGCAGCTCCAGAAACAGAAGCAGGTCACAGTCCCGTGACTTTACATGAAGGCTTTTAAGGATTAAGTCTCTACCAGTGAGACAGTGGAAAAGAAACAACAGTATTCTACTCAAGAGGTGTAAGACATGCTTTACTAGAAAAACTATGGTAGTAAATAAAATAAAGTTCTTGGCAAAATCTATAGCATGAGCTGCAATAACCAGGTAACAGTTCCTGTTCCAAATGATCTGAAGGGGAAACAAAATTCCAGGTAGAAGGGAAGCCTCAATACAGGTGCTCCATTGAGTGATGAACCCAGGAAGAGTCATGACTGTGTTTTACAGTGTGTAGGCAATGATTTTTCCAGTACAAGGGTGCTCGCTTGTTTGTTGAGCCCTGAGGTTAAGTCCCATCCCTGTTTGTGTACAGCTTGGTGAGCTGTGTCAGCAGCTGCGATGTGTGCTCATCCAAGCCTCAGTCATCTCTCTCTCCCTTGACAGAGGGAGAGAAGTGCATACCTCCAGAGAGTACTCTGGTCCTCTCTTAGGATAGATGAGCTGCCCGTGATGTGTATGGGATTTTTTCCCTTGTTGACTGTAGCAGATTGATTAGCGTGAATATAGACGTCAAATTTAGGGGAGGAGTCTAAAAGTTGAATAAATTTTACTCATTTGGGCTTCTTCCATTTGCCTAATGTCATCATTTTGCAAGTGCAAGTTGTTAGTGCTACATAAGCCATCTTCCTCTGCTGTTTTTTGATGCTTAAGTATTTCTAGCTGTCTTAACACAATGTGATGTCTTAGGGGACCGGATCTTGCTCTTCCTGTGAGTGTATGAGTAGCACATGAGGTAAATACCCCTCAGCTGGCTGTGCAAATTCTTAATCTTCATGGCATCCAGACAGACTGAATGCTGCATGCCTTCACTTCATGAAAAAGGAGTGGTTGTTGCTGCTGTGGATTTAAGACAATTACTAAATGCTGGTCTAGTCAAAGACATCTACTGTGTAACTGATCTGTAAAATGCTGCCAAGGAGCGTTGGCTTCCTTTGAGGATAAGGAAGGGGCTGTGTTTATGCTTTGGTATTATAGAGACCTCCTCTTTTGGAAGAGGCAGAGGTATCCAGAGAATATGGCGAGAAACATGCTATAGCAGCTGTTAACTTTCTCAAACTACCCTGAAATAAATGGCTTGCACTTTGGATGGGAGGAATGGATGTTACCTGAACTAAAACTTATGGCTCTCCTAAATGCAACTCTCCAGCATGGTCAATCTCTGCACAGGTTGATGGTTACCTACTTTTTTCCTTATATGAACTTTCTGGAAATTAAACTAGTCTTAAAAGCTTGTTAATAGAGCAAATAAAATTGGTCTAGTAAGTAACTTGTAAACTTCATCCAATAAACTGTCAATCCAGTAAATGACCTTTTGTTTGTGTGTAGCCAAATGAGATTGTATAACACTTGTGAGCGTGAGTTTTTAACTGTCTTAAGAAATATTCGCTGTGAAGTGTTATAGACTAAATTAGGACAAATGCCTTTAACTTGTGTGTGTACAGATGGCTGCTACATTGGGTATGAGTTACTTAGAGGTAAACTCCTTCCATGTAGGAGAGAAAATTGTCTTCTGAGCGGCTGATGCATCAACACATCTTACTATGAAAGAAACAGACATTTACACTTGAATTGGTGCCCATTCATCTAAACAGTTTATCTTTTTCCTCCCCAGAAACGGTCCAGAATTTGAAGCTCGAATTCGTCAGAATGAAATAAATAACCCTAAGTTCAATTTCTTGAATCCCAACGATCCTTACCATGCATACTACCGGCACAAAGTCAGCGAGTTCAAAGAGGGTAAAGCACAGGAGCCCTCGGCTGCTATTCCCAAGGTCATGCAACAGCAGCAGAGTGCTCAGCAGCAGCTTCCACAGAAGGCAAGTATTCCTTTTTGCTTTGGTCAAGAAGTTGGCTTCCGACTGGCTGTGTCATATCCTAATGTTAAGCAGGAGGTCTGAAAGACAAGGCAAATGATGGAGTTGGTTACCCATTTGCAAAAAAGACAACACTGAGAGGCTTGGAGTTTAGTGTCTGGGACTTGGTTTTGATGTAGATGTGCATCCTCTAGTTGCTGGTAACTCAAAGTTGTTTGTGAAAGAGCTGATATATTGTTCTACTTCGTCTGTTTTAATTACTTTTAGTTCTGTGTTGACTGATACTCTACTTACCCTAGTGGTCGCTCAGACTGTATGAGTTTAGGACTCCTGCCATCAGCAAGTCTTTAGAATCCCTTGGAGTTCAATTTGGGTTTGTTGCATGTGCTGTTTTGTAGAAACATTTCCTTTTTTTATTGCTGGCAGGATCAACTTCCCCTTAAAACGTGGAGTACAAAATGTTGCTAATCTTGTTTAGTTGTGCCTTTATATCTACTGGATGGAAAAAGGGCACTGACTGAATCCGAGTCTTTTACATGCTTTGCATGGCCAACAGTCACACTGTGTGGTATTGACCGTCCTGGAGGATTATAGCGAAGTCCTGATAATTTCCAGTTTTGTTAGCTGTTAGAGCAACATTTTTTTTATAGTACACTTAAATACAGATGTCCAGATATACCCTGTGGTACTAATTGTTCTCATCCTTGCAGCTGCCAGGATGTCTAGACTGATGTTGTTTTCCTGTAGCAGCTAAGGGAAAAATGAGTTCTCCCAAGTGTTTGATAACGGTTTGTTGAGGGCAGTCACTGAGCCATCTCTGTTCTGCTCTGCAGGTGCAGGCCCAGGTGATCCAGGAGACAGTCGTTCCGAAAGAGCCACCTCCGGAGTTCGAGTTCATTGCAGATCCTCCTTCAATCTCGGCCTTTGACTTGGATGTGGTGAAGCTAACGGCACAGTTCGTGGCTCGGAACGGGCGGCAGTTCTTGACTCAGCTGATGCAGAAAGAGCAGAGGAACTACCAGTTTGATTTCCTTCGCCCCCAGCACAGTCTCTTCAACTACTTCACTAAGCTGGTTGAACAGTACACAAAGGTACTCTTGGCATTTTATCTGTCAATTTGATTCCTTCAGCAGCAGTACTGACTTTTGAAGACTACCAAAGCCCTACAAAACAGCCAGACTAGAAATATGTGCAGGTCCAGGAGTCCATCCTTTAAATCTCACTCTTTAAGTAGAGTGGGTATCTCATACATTGTTGGCAGCGTGCAGCGCTGAACACAGGGGGCTGTTATTTAAATGTACCAGACATTATTGTAATATAAGTAAAAGTTGTGGTTTTTTAAATATGGAGGGTAGTTGGAAGGCCAAGAGTGAATATTTTTAAGTGCAAGTGTAAGCAGTAGGAGGGTTGCAATAGACTGAATGGAACGTAGTCCCAGGGGTGTGCTGATTTTTTTATCGGTGTGGAAAGAGAATAATTGCTTTCATGGAGGCTTTGGCAAAAAGAATTGTCACCAACTGTCACGCAAAATATGTTTCAGATCTTGATCCCACCGAAAGGCTTACTCCTCAAACTCAAGAAAGAGGCTGAAAATCCCAAGGAAGTCCTAGATCAGGTATTGCACGAAAAATTTGCAAAATTGCTGAGCGTTTCAGTTATGTTTTGAATTTTTTCTCTTTGCATGTTTCTGACTTATTGGCAGCAAATATAAACATACAGAGGATAGGATGTGGCCCCTGTAGTCACTTGAATACAGGGTACTCAAGCTTGCCTTTCAACCACTAGCTAGTGTTCGTATTGGGGGAAGTTTACTTGTGGCAGCATAGAGGCATAGATAGTGCACAACCCTTTTCCAAGCGCTTTACAAAGAATGTTTGCCTCTCAGATGACTTCAGTGTGACACCTCGGTCACTTACAGTCCTTCCAAGCTGTTCTTTATTACTTAGACTTCTGTCTTCATCACAAAGACTGCTTTTCCTTTGGAAAGGTGGCATTACAGGATTGTAATAAAGTGTCTGTGAATTGTTTGCTGGCTGTGAATCTTCAGTGATAGCAGAGTCATGTCATACATGGATGGCCTGGTCTTGGCTCAAGAAGTCTGCAGTTTCAGCTTTAGAAAACTAGTCTGCAAAGCTGGTGCAGTGCATTACTCAATAGGCAAACCTATGGTTTCTAAATGAAATACAAATATTTCTTTGTTGTGCCAGGCCTCTGAAATAGCGCTTGTGTAACTGCCCTGAAAGGGTTGGTAGTGTAAACTTTTAGATGCTGTAGAGATGACTGTGGTGTGTTTCTTGTCTGACATTTGGTGTGTGCTTTATGTCTGCTTGTGCAGGTGTATTACAGAGTGGAGTGGGCAAAGTTCCAGGAGCGAGAGAGAAAGAAGGAAGAGGAGGAGAAGGAAAAGGAGCGTGTTGCTTATGCCCAGATTGATTGGCATGACTTTGTGGTTGTGGAAACAGTTGACTTTCAGCCCAATGAGCAAGGTACTGAAGTCAAGCGTTGTAACCTCTATGAAACTCTGCTCCCTTTGAGTAGGGACTATGTCCTGAAATGCTATTTTTAGACAGTCATTGGGTTTTACAGCTGCATATCCTTCAAAGATGAAGGAGAAAGCCTTCTAGTAACTGTGCAGGGCTGGTTTTTTTTTCTGGAGTCAGTAATGTTCTCGTTGAACGAAGTCCAGGACTGCATCAGTGTCCACTTTTCCTCTTCCACCAGGACAGCGGAACTTGTCCCACTTTCTAGTAGTGCTTTCACCTATAAGTACCTTCATGTTCATGTGTCAAGCTGATGTTGGTCTGTATAGACTCCATCTATTCCCTTCTATATACCTAGGCTCCCAGGAGATTCTGATGCCACTGCTGTGTAAAGAAACTGCTTTTCGTTCAAGAAACTGACATTTCTGTTTGTGCATTGAGCAACGAAATGGGATAGAGAAACAGAAGCTCTTGTTTTCTGTGTTGTAGGGAATTTCCCTCCTCCCACCACTCCAGAAGAGTTGGGAGCTCGAATCCTGATCCAGGAGCGTTATGAGAAGTTTGGGGAAAGTGAGGAGGTAGAGATGGAGGTGGAGTCAGATGAGGAAGATGAAAAGCAAGAGAAAACAGATGAGCCCCCAACCCAGCTGGATCAAGACACACAAGTGCAGGATATGGATGAGGTAACTAGCCAACAGAATCAGCATTACTTTTGTCCTGTAAGGTTTGTGTTCTTTATGATGCCCTTCATTTTCACTGTAAGAAGTTCCTCAGTTTCATGAGGAAATGAGATTTCCTTCTGATGGAATTTCAAAACAACCTGGTTTTGCTGGAATATAGGGTTTTTTAATGTTTTCCATGATAATACAATTTCCAAGAGAGAAATCCAGTAATTTTGTCACCTAATGGTGTGGATTTTATGTTTCTGTGATCAAGCCTTTTGGGCTTTCTTCTGCACAGAGTCTGGAACACTGAGAGATGACTCATATTAGACTCTTCCTCTACCCACTATATGTAAGCTCTTTTTCTGGTAACAAGGAACAACAGCATGGTTAACTGTAAGCCCCTGCTTGCTGTGTGCTGTGGTAATGTGGAAGCTGAGGAGTACTTGCTTCCTCTTCTGGGTCCACTGAATATCTGAATCATGATTATCCAGAGGAACCACTATAGCATAGGTGTCTAGAGGCAAAATAGCTCTGTTGCTTTGAAGCTGCATAATCAGTTTGTCCAGCGCTGCACAGGATTTCTATGCCTTTCTCAAATCTTGTGGGGGAGTATTTGACTACAGGAACTTGGTTATGATTTTTTCTCCTCTCCCCAAATAAGGGCTCAGATGATGAAGATGAAGGTCAGAAGGTTCCTCCTCCTCCAGAAACCCCAATGCCACCGCCTCTTCCTCCCACGCCAGATCAGGTCATTGTGCGGAAAGATTATGATCCCAAAGGTAAATCAGGCTGGTGAAGAAAAACATTATTTTTTCCTGAATAATCACAAAAGCATTTGTTTCTAGGCTGCATCCTCTGATGTGTTTTTAACAGTGTGGTTTTGTTTTTCTAGCCTCAAAACCATTACCACCCGCCCCAGCTCCAGATGAGTATCTTGTTTCCCCCATCACTGGTGAGAAAATTCCTGCCAGTAAAATGCAAGAACACATGCGAATTGGTCTCCTGGATCCTCGATGGTTGGAGCAGCGTGATCGATCCATCCGTGAAAAGCAGAGTGATGATGAGGTCTATGCCCCAGGTCAGCTTGAGCATCTGACACAGCTTGCAAAACCGAGTTCCTAGATGAGTTCTGTGAACTCTTAGCGCACCCCCTCATTGCCCCCAGGTCCTACCAATAAGGACCATCTTAAATGTAGCTTTCTGTGTGATGTCCTCAGTGTGCTGATGATGTGGATACATTTGTCATTAGTACATTGAAGCCTTTCTATAAACTTCAAGGCAAAGAGCATTCCTTAGCTGCTGCTGACCAGCCATCAGCTGCAGTCTCTTTTTAGAAAGAGCAACACTCGGCTATTAGGTACCAAATAATTTAAAGATCATTAACAGAGGCTTAATCATGTTTGACTTTGATTATATCACTTGAGATAAGAATTTCTCTTTTTGCCTGCAGGTTTGGATATTGAAAGTAGCTTGAAGCAGCTGGCAGAGCGCCGTACTGATATCTTCGGTGTAGAAGAGACTGCCATTGGTAAAAAGATTGGTGAAGAAGAAATCCAGAAACCAGAGGAAAAGGTACAGTGGAAACTGTGGGGTTTTTTAACAGATTTCTGTAGTATTATGAATGCTTAGAGAGGCAGGAGTCGTTTGAACTTTGTTCTTGCTGTAAAGCTGCTCTCTTGATTTATTTGCAGCTCATGTTGCAGTCTGGACAGACTGGAGTTATTCTGATTTATTGTATCCTCTCAGGTGACCTGGGATGGCCACTCAGGCAGCATGGCCCGCACACAACAGGCTGCTCAGGCCAATATTACTCTCCAAGAGCAAATTGAAGCTATCCATAAGGCCAAGGGACTGGTGCCAGAAGATGACAGCAAGGAGAAGATTGGTCCCAGCAAACCCAATGAAATGCCCCAGCCACCCCCTCCTTCCTCGGCATCAAATCCACCAGCTAGCGCTCAGCCTATCACATCTGTGCCTCGTCCACCCACAGTAAGTGTTTGGGCTTCCAAATGCAAACGGCTGTGGCCGTGGTTAATTAGAATGGAGTCCTGGTCAAGGGTTATAACAGCAGAGTGCTGGCTTAGAAGCAGTTTCTGAATGACTCTTAAACCGTCAGAGGAACTCTGTTGAACTTGCTGTTAAAAATGGAAAATAAGGCTTAGGTGGAGCTTTTCATCCTTAGAGGTACCAAAGGGACTTGGTCAGATGGGCAGTGAGATCTTGGAGGAAGGGAGTATGGCTAACAAAGGAATAGGTGGGGGCCTTTTCTTAGGTGTAAAAGGTGTGGTGCAGAACAAAAGCAGCCGCAGGTGAGAAACGTTGACAGGTGACTCACTTGCCCAGTGTTCCTGCCCCAAGGGTTCCGCTACATGACTCTGAAATAGCTCCTTCTTTAAGATTGCTGCATGGCTCATGGTCTGATAGCTGAGTGGTGAGGGAAGGAAGAACCGGTTAATCTGTTAATGAGGCTTCTGTGCCTGTTTACAGGCAGCTTGGGCTGGCCATACAGTGGGCTTGCTGAGGCTCCCAGCAAGCCTTTGGCCAGCAGAAGTCCTCTGTGTGTTGCCCCAGTTATTTTTATCAGGACTGTGCATTGAGTTTTCCTGCATGCATCTGCTAAGAAAAATTACCCTCTCTCTCCAGATGCCCCCTCCCGTTCGTGCTGCTGTTGTTTCTGCAGTTCCAGTCATGCCTCGTCCCCCGATGACTTCCGTTGTCCGTCTGCCTCCAGGATCCGTCATAGCCACCCCCATGCCACCGATAATCCATACCCCACGCATAAACGTTGTCCCCATGCCGCCCTCTGCTCCTCCCATCATGAGCCCCCGCCCGCCTCCGATGATAGTACCAACAGGTCAGTAATTTCAGCTTTTTCTGGTTAATTGTCAGCTAATTCCTGTATAATGTGGACTTGAGCTTTGATTCTTTTTTCCTTTTGTGCCTCTGATAATGGTGTGTAATTGGGATTGCAGACCCTAAGTCCCATCATTAAGAATTTTGGGGTCTTTGATATGACTTACCTAGCAGTACTGGTTTTGGGCTCAGACTCCTCCTGCAGCATGAAATACAGAGAATTGTCTCGCCCGTTTTATGTCTCTGTCCTCGCGAGCCTGCCCAGGTGAAGATTAAGAATCCATGCTGCTTTCCAAAAGGAACCAGGGTAATGAGGAACTGCTAGCACCTCACTGGGTGTTACATTTTGTTACAGAGTTGCTGCTGCAGGAGGAAAAGCTGTTGTCTGGCCCCTTTCCTCACAGCAGCTTCATAGCATTGGGTGCTTTTAAGTTGAAAAGCACAATGTAAAAAACAAGTCTTCCTTTTTTTTTTTTTTTTTTTTTTTTTAAAATCGGGGTGCTGGCACTGCTCTGCATGCCAAACCGAGAGTATTTTCTTTTTTGCAAGATCTGCAGGAAGCTCTTATGGCTTGTTGCCTTTTCCTGGACTGTTTCCCAATATAAAAGATCTAACGTTTGAAGTTTGCATGTTACTGTTGGTTGTGTTAACTTCCTCCATGTATTGTGGCATTTATTTTCAGTCCTTACTGGTCTGCTAAAAGTTTTTACATAAGGGATACTCAATGGATGACTGCAGGTCATGTTGTGTCCCCCCATCCCATTTCAGCATTTGTTCCTGCGCCTCCTGTGGCTCCTGTTCCTTCCCCAGCACCAATGCCTCCTGTTCACCCACCACCACCGATGGAGGATGAGCCAGTCTCAAAGAAACTGAAGAGCGAAGATAGCCTGATTCCAGAGGAGGAGTTTCTGCGCAGGAACAAGGTACGTGTGTGGGCTGGCTGTTTGCTGAGAAGCACTGGAGTCCTGACCCCTCTGGGCTGGTCAGCCTCCTCTGCCCAAAGAGGATGTAAAGCCAGCTCACTACACAGAGGGGAGCTGATGTGCAAAAGTACTTTGCAAGGGAGTGACTTTCTGAGATGGCTCCTTCCTACTGTCAATTCCTGAGCAAACTGAACTGCTTTGTGTTTTACTGGAGAGAGCAATGCAGCACTACACACGGAAGTTCAGTAAGATAGTGCTCTTCTGTAATTAAGGGCAGTGAGAGGTAGGTTTATAGGAATGTAAAGAGGAACTAAAGCTGCTAATAACCTTTTAAGCAGAGGACTGCTAAGCTGGAGATGCAAGGAGATTTAATATATCAATGTCAGCATGATAGTATGGTAATGTGGTATATTCCATAACAACATGAACTAAATGTTAGACTGAATTCCTTCCTGAAGAGTGCCATCATTGTGGGTTGAATTTTAAGTCTTTAAGAAGGCTGTATGGTTTTCCTGGACATCTGCACAGAGAAGCTGTCTCCTGTTTAATGCTTAATACGTTCACTCTGTAATACCTTGAATGTGTGTGATGCTTGGTGGATGGCCTGCAACAGGAGGGACTAATGAGAGAAATCCAACTAAATGTTTTATTTTGGTAGCAGTGAAGTAACTTTCTCAGTGTTGAGGCAAATACATTTCTGTGTGTTTACTGAGAAGTTGAGATATGTGGCTGGTTTTGGAAATAAATAATTTGTCTGCCGCTCTGTGTCTATAAATAATTTGTCTGCCCACTCTTTTATCATAGTCCTGTAAGAGACGTTATCTTTGTTTCCTCTAGGGTCCGGTCACGGTCAAAGTCCAGGTTCCCAACATGCAGGATAAGACGGAATGGAAACTGAACGGCCAAGTGTTGGTGTTTACCCTGCCGCTCTCAGACCAGGCATGTAGCTTATTAACTTGGCCTCTACCCCTTCTTGTTTTGCTACCAAGTTTCTTTGCTTTGAGAATAGCAATTGACCTGCATGGCAGGAGCTATAAAACTCGGGATGTTCCCCACGCTGCAGCCTCTTGCCCAGCGGGATTGCGTGGCTGGGGGAGCAGTGCTGCCCATCGGTACAGTGGGGGAAAAAAGCCTGAGCAAGGTCTTTGATTCTTCCTAGGTGTCTGTTATAAAGGTTAAGATCCACGAGGCCACAGGGATGCCAGCTGGGAAACAGAAGCTGCAGTATGAGGTGGGTAAAAGCCCTTCAAATCCTGTTTGTTACTTCAGTGTTTTCTCACACACAGACTGACTTTTTATGAGAAGAACTTGTAATGTACCTACTGAGATGCTGGGAGGAGCAGAGGGAATGGTTTTCCTGCCCGTACGGCACACTTGGTTACAGAACTGCACACTATTGCAGCAGGACAGGCCTTTAATAGGTGGCATCAGTGGATCTTTGCATTGTCACTGCTGCAGATGAGTCCTCTAAGCTTGATGGCTTTCTCTGAAATCAGCCGATTGTTTTATTGGGGGTTTTTGACATTTAAATGCAGCAGGCTGCTCCCACTGATCTGTCGAGTGTGCTGTGGAAGGTGGGCGAGAGCACCTTGAAACCCTGAGAGCTCTGCAAAGACTTTCTCCAAAACACGGAAGAGAAGAGATCTCTCTCTCTTCCTCTCAAGACTGGAGCTGTTAGAAGGGCACCCTTCCTTTTTAATAATTTGTTTCCAGTCATGCATGTGCTCAGGCACAACCTGCTGCCTAAGCAGTGAACTTTGTGCACTTACCTCCTCGGGAGTTCATCTATGGGCAGATACTGTGTTAACCCTTAGCGAGGAAGGAAGCTTAACTGATTTTTGTTTAAGTTAAAGGAGGGGGGAGGGGCAGGGAGTGGAGCCTAAATAACTTCACTTGTTGTGGTGACTGTCTTTATCTGTATGTTTGTAAAGGTATATGGTGTATATTGTCTGTTTGTACTCTTGCATCATTCCCAGCATACCCACCTCCTCTGGTACCCATCTTCTGAGACCCTGGGATCTCTCCAGGGTTTTTCAAAGCCTGCAGCACTCTGTCATCACCCTGTTCTGAGAGTACAGCCAGGAGGGCTTAATCTGTGTGGGGTTTTGTGGGAAGGGAACATTAAGATTTCTGGTGTGACTGCTTTTTGTTTTTTTTTCTTTTCTCCTCAGGGCATCTTCATCAAGGATTCGAACTCCCTGGCTTATTACAACATGACAAGTGGCTCTCTGATTCACCTGGCACTCAAAGAAAGAGGAGGCAGAAAGAAATAGGAGCCGAGAGACGTAACATGGCTGCGTTGCCACTAGCGTAACCCCAACCCTTCGAATCCTCCAGCCTTTTAGGGGCTACTGCGACTGCCTGCCAGCTCTAGTTTGAAAAGAGAGACTATGAACCCTGTGTTTGGGTGGCTGATGAGAGAGGGGAAGTTGATAGAGCCCTGAAATGTGTAAATGTAGTGACCTAGTATGTAACTGCAGCAGTCTGTTAGTGATCGATCCTTTGCTCGAGTGCTGTCTCTCCGTTGAATTCCCTTGTGAAGCAACATTGAGGTCGTGCCCAGCATAGTCTAGATCCATCTTTGAGGGATTTACACTGACCAAGAATATCATCTGTCTGACTACAGTGCTTGCTGCTTCATTTAACCTTTTTCTAATTGAAAATTTCTTCCTTCTCAACATACTTACTAAACCCCTTGTTCTTTCTCTGTCTCGGATCTATCTGCAAGAGCCTCTTGCCTTGACCCTGACTTGGAAATTTATCCTCCCTCAGCATGAGTGTATGTGGCTGTTCCCTGCGATAAAGGAGATCTGGGTCTGTGCATGCTGAACAGCTTCGTGCTGCTTCTGTACAGCCTGTGATTTGTTTTAATAAACACGCATCTCAGTGCGAGATTCTGTCTGTCACAGCTCTCGTTCCTTGGGTTTTAGGTTTTTCAGTTGGAGGTATGCCTGGCTTTAGAGCACTTGGGTGGGTTGCAGGGAAATGCATCGGGATTTTGTAATTAGGCAGTTTACTAAGGAAATGCTTTTATTTTTTAGGAAAGGCTGCAAGAAAAGGGTTTTGTTAAAATTTCCCTAGCACTACACAGTTATTCCTGAACGTGAAGCATGTATATATGAATACTTATGTCTGCATATGGGGGCAGAAAGACTACTTTGAACTTGGTGAGAATTTCATTGGAAAACGTGTTTTACACTTTATATCATGCAGCTGGCATCTCTTGGTTCTGGAGAGCATACAGATCCAGAAAACATATTATTCCTGTACCTTCAGTCAGAGCTGTGTTGCAGTTTGACAGAAACATAACACAGAGCAAAGTTAACCGACAGAGAATTGGGTGCCAAGGAAGAGGTGGTTGTCTGTGATTTGGGTATCTCTGTTCTTTTGGGATAATCCAAAGCCGTGGATTTTATTTTTTTTTTTAATGGTGTTCAGGCATTACAGGAACATCCTGTTTACCTTATTCTGCACTTAGGGGAGAGAGAGATGAAGCAGAAGGGAAGAGCCAGCATCCTCCCGCCTCCCTTGTGCCCCTCAGAGGGTGGGAGGAAGCCGTGTTGCTGTAGGGAAGGAGCCTGGCGCTGGCCCAGCCCAGGTGGCCGCTGGTCCCCTGCCTGCAGTGGCCAGCTGCCGTCTCTGACAGATGCCTGCCGGACACACACAGGCAGCCTGCTCCCATCCCTGCTGTAGGACGCCGAATTTGGAGCTGCTTGGTGGGTGTGGGCAAGGTGTGTTTGGATGTATGGTGGATGGACGGGTGCTCCCACCCTGCAGGAAGGTGCGCTAATGACTTTCCTTTTGCTTTGAAGAGCTAGGCAATAGGTACAATCTTGGAGAAAACAAAACCGGGCAGCAAGTGGTGTTTCTCAGAGTTGATAAAAAAAAAAAAAAAAGCCTGCTAAGAAAGCTCTGAAATGGAGAAGTCATGTTTTTACATCCGGCACAGGGCCCAAACGTGATGGGACTGTGCTGAAAGTCATCCAGCTTTTCTTCTCCAGCTGTGCCTGGTGGCGTGAACCGCCACGACACTTGGTGCCCCAGGAACTCCCCGATCCGACATGTGTTTCCTCGATGTCTCTGGCTGAACGTTGCGCTGGTGCTTGGGTGACATTTTCAGCCAAGCTCCTTTTACCAGCCTGGCAGGGCTGAGCTCCCGGCCCGGCGCTCCGGCAGGAAAACTTCCCGCTAGAAATAGCTTGCGTGGAGCCTTGCCAGCCCCTTTCTATCTAAATATTACTGATAAAAGTTGTAACAGACTGTGCATGTGTATATCTAGTACAAAGCAACTGTTATCGGAGCCTTCCACTTCAGTGGGGAGGACCCGCGGGGCTCAGGCTGCCAGAAAAATCTGGAAGTAGGTTGAGTTATTGCTGACTTTAATGAGCTTCGTTCCCTTGGTCGCGTTACCCGCTTTGAGAGAGGGTCTTGGCTCTTAAGACCCCGCTTCTTCGCTGTTCAAGGGAGAAAATGGAGCGCGGGGCTCAGGGCTGTGCGAAGCCTCGGGCGGTGGGATGGGCCTCACTGCCTTCCCTCCCTGGAATGCTTCACCCGGAGCGGCTCCCAACAGATCCCAGACCCTGCGCTGTCACCCGGTTTGCTTTATAGATCCTTTTTTGCTTTATTTTTCAGGGAGCCGGGCTGGTTTCACCCATCAGGGCTGCAGGTGCCCAGGCCGGTGGTGGATGGGGAACCTCGGCGTGGAGCAGCGGTGGTCGGGCTGGGGCAGGTTTGGGATGCGGTGTGCTTATAAAGCGAGTAAGGTGTGTGCCTTTGGCTTCAAAGCATCCCCCGAGTGGATCGCGGTCATCCCTCGGGGGAAACGGGTCCTCCCGGTGCCCTGTCCCAGTCCGTGCCCAGTGCTGACCCCGCACGGCCCTCCCGCAGTCCCGGTATGCACGTATCCAGTCCCCCCTGGAGTCCCAGTGCCATCCCAGTGCGGTCCCAGTGCCGTGCTGGTGCGGCTCAGCCCGGTCCCAGCACGGACCCGCTCCCGGCCCCCGCCCCGGCGCTGCCCCGCCCCTCGGCTTCACGTCGCCCCGCCCCCCCGCCATCGCCGGAGGCGGGGCGGAGACGAGCCCCGACGGACAGCTCCTTCCCAGCCGCTCGACCAATCCCCTCCCGAGGCGGGCCGTCCCCGTCGCCAATCCTGGCGGCCGGTTGGCGAGAGGCCCGCCCCCGCCCAATCGCGCCGCCGCGCGGAGGC